AAGGATTGCTACAAAGCTGGTTATCTGCGGTTTAACTTTCAAATACCTAAAGAGGCAATGACAAGGAGCAAAGTCAATCAGTCTGGGCCGTAGTGGCTCACATGCCTGCAATCCTAGTTACTCAGGAAGCTGAGATCTGAGGAATAAAGTTTAAAGCCAGCTAGGCAGGAAAGTCTGTGAGATGTTTCTCTCTAATAAACTACTTATAAAAAGCCAGAAGTGACACTGTGGCTGAAGTGGTAGAGCACTAGCCCTGAGCACAAAGAGGCTCAGGGACAGCGCCTAGGCCCAGAGTTCAAGCCCATTGACCAACAACAACAACGACAAAAAGAAATGAGAAGCCAGAGGCTGGATATGTTTTGCTGCCTATGATAATGGAAGGTACACAGGCTCTGCGTGAATGCATGAATGAATGAATGAAGCATTAAACCAGAAATTAATTTTTTAATTTTTTCTTTTGGCTTGTAGGACCTAGAAGCTGCTCCTGAATTCTTTTACTAAAGGCTAGTGCTCTACCACTTTGAGCCACAGTGCCACTTCCGGTTTTCTGGTGGTTAATTGGAGATAAAGAGTCCTACAGCTTTTCCTGCCCAGGCTGGCTTTGAACCGTGATCCTCAGATCTCAGCTTCCTGAGTAGCTAGGATTATAGGTGTGAGCTCCTGGTGCCCAGACAGAAACTGATTTTTTCAAAAAGATTCTAACCAGGGCTGGGAAGGTGGCTCAGTGGTAGGGCGCTTGCCTTGCATGCCTGAGGCCCTGGGTTCGATTCCTCAGCACCACATAATCAGAAAGAAAGAAGCCAGAAGTGGCGCTGTGGCTCAAGTGGTAGAATGCTAGCCTTGAGCTGAAGAGCTGAGGGACAGCACCCAGGTCCAGAGTTCAGGCCCCACGACCAGACCCCCCCCCAAAAAAAAGATTCTAACCAGAGTAGCTAGGATTAGGGGTATGAGCCATTGGTGCCCCACTTTAATTTTTCGATGATACTGGCTGTTGGGTTTTTAAAAAGAGGTAGCTGAGTAAGAACAGCACCATGCATGTAGTATTCAAGTAAGGGGTAGGTTTATTCATCGTTCTGGCTGACACCAGGGCATCTTGGCCCTCCACGTGGAGGTGGGGAAAGGCCTGGGAAAGAGCTGGGAAAGAGGTAGAAAAAGAGAGCGTCTGGGCCTGGGCTAGGCCTTATCTAGGGTTTGGGTAGAGAAAAGTGTGGCCACATCAAATTCAGATGTGACCTCAGGGGATGCAGATGTGACCTCTTCCAGGTGTGCCAGTTGCCTAGGTAACGCAGGTACTGGGTGGAGACTTTGCTGCTAGGAGAGTGGAGTCTGCTCGCCATCCAGGAGCGGACCTTACACTGGGGTTTGACCTCATATCCCCAGCCCTGATGATTCATTTTGTGAAGAAAAAAAAGGCAATTCCTTCATGGTTCTGGATAGCTCTTCCTCTAAAGCAAAGTCCCTCTCCCCAACACTTTTCTAGTTTTATTATTTTATTTTTGTCTATCAAGTCATTACTCAAAGGTCACAATCTCCAAACTAAAAACGGCACCTCCAAGCCACGAGTGTGAACCCCAGTCCCTTAAAAAAAAAAACAAAACAGTAAAAAGAAATCATCCCGCCCCTCCTCTACGTACTGACACATCTTCTTTTCCATCCAAAGGACTTTGGCTTACTTATTTCATTTACTTTCTGTCTTCCTCAGGGAATGAGACTAGAGGCTTACGAAGGTAAAAGCAGCACCCGGCCGTCTAGTCCTGAGCGCCCACTCATTACTTAGGAAGGGAACGAACGAATGAATGAACGACTTCTCATTTTCCTTTTTAAAATCACCCTCCCCGGGTCTTCTCCCAGGCCATTGGCCACGCCCCTCGAGCCTGGCCACGCCCCGGACGCGCTGCGCATGCTCCGTTATGAGGCGCTCCAGCCCTGCGCTCCCACCCTTGCCCCGCTCGCATCCGGGCTCCTCACGGAATGGGCACAAACCATTTCCACTTGTACCTGGGGGGGGACCGGAGTGGCTCTGCTTCTCCTTCCCGAGGAAGGGCGGAAGCGACCCTTCTCTCGGGAGGTCTACTGCTCTTCTGATACCGCGGGGCGTTCTCCTTGTGTCCCCCGTGCGGCCTGTGACTTCGGGGGCTCCCTTCGCCGGAGCTTTGCACCGCTCCCCCCTCCACCCTGTGGCGGCATTGGTGGCGCCCTGCCCGGTCACGTGGGCGGCAAGATGGCGGCCCCCGGGGCGCGCCGCGAGCGTCTGCGCTGGTGAGGCCGGGCGAGTGGAGGTGAAGCCCGTGTGGACCGGGTCTGGCGGCCGGCCCGGGGAGGGCGCCCCGCGGGACATCGGGGCCCGGCTTCCGGCCAGCGCCTTCTCCACGGCGGCCCCGCCGGTCCTTCGCTGGTGAGCCCTGGGGGGCAGGGGCGACGAGACACCGGGGGGGCAGGGGCGTCGGGACACCGGGGGGGCAGGGGCGTCGGGACACCTGGGGGGCAGGGGCGTCGGGACACCTGGGGGCAGGGCGTCGGGACACCGGGGGGGCAGGGGCGTCGGGACACCCCCCCGGTTTGCAGGTGGGGGGGATCCAGCAGCGAGAGGTCACGTGAGAGGGGTTCTGCGATGCCCACGTCCTGAGCTGGGTGTGGGGGGGCGGCGGTGTGGATTCTGGGG